TGCTGTTTTGTTACTTCATGCACCTTTATATTTTTGACCCCATTTCCTCTCTCTTTCTTCATAATCTTTCACATTCTTATTTTCAAAGTATGCATTTCATCTTAGACATCATAATATATCGCAATCACCCCACAAGCCAAATCAATTAACTGCCTTTTCAGACCATGATTGGAATAGTGGCAAAAGAGACACCACACCTGATAACAATGAAATACTTTAGAGATGACCAGAGGTTCATTCATTTGTGGCAATAATTCTACGGTCACTCTGTAAGTCATTTTCACTTTTTTTAAAAACTTTTCTGGGTTTTTTTATTGGTCTTCCCATATCGCACACCATCTGCAAGCAAGATGGTGGGCAGGCAACTTGTTCCAAAGTGTCTGCCAAGGGCACTTCAAACAGTTTCTGGAAAGTGTGTGAGAGCAGATCAGGTGACTGCCTTTTATTTTATTCTTCCTCTTTTGAGGCCACCATTCAATGCCTCCTGTGGAGTTGCCTTCTAGGGCTCACTGTACATTATAAAATATGTACTGTAGCACTTGTCAGTAAAGGAGCTTTTGGAACACGTAAGTCCTTCAGAGACTTTTGTATTCTGTACAATACTTACTTTCTTTAAATAGTTGACAGGTCGGGACTTTTTTTAATAGTCCTGTTTACATGTGATAATGTCTGTTATAATTTAATTGTTTGTTCTTTTCATTTTTTTTGAGGGTGGTGGTGGTGGGAATTCTTGTATCCATCGAGATATGTATGATAGAAAATGCCAATTTTTTTTCACTTTAAACATAGCCATTCAAAGTTCACTTGTAGATTTATGCTTCGATTATCCTACATGCCTGGGCATCCGACATCCTACATCTGTGTAGCATGATATTTGGCACTTAAACAAGTAGTTTGTAATCACTCTGTGAGTAACCGCAACATAAATACATTTTAGTTCGCACCAAAAGAGAACTCTTTTCATGCTTTATAGATTTCATTATTTGTTAGATTTTCTTCTTTTGAGTAATGTGAAAAACACAGCAGAAGTACGTCTGCCTGCTCACTCTGCTGTTTCTAATGCACCAAACAATAGATTGATCAATGCAGTATAACAAGAATCTAATTTCCAACTTTGTCTCGACAATTGCTTAATTCTCCGAAAAACTTACCTACAATGTCATTTTGTTTGTTTCCCACATCCACTTCTTTATATTGATATTGTTAATTTATAATGAATTATTGGCTGTTTGGGTTTTTTGTATAAAACACTTACAGTCAGCAAAGAGATTTTCATTTCAGCAAACTGGATTTGAATTGTGTACTAAAGATTAAAGATCTAAAATTAAACCACTATACCAAACAGATTTTAAATATATTATTTGTAACTACTATGCTGCATCAATTTACAATTTTTTGAATAATTTTCATGATTAAACTTTTTTGTCAAGCCTGGGTGGTAAGTTAGGACGAATACTGCATTTTCCCTCCTGGTACAGCGTTTGAATTCAACTGAAGTCACTGAAATTAAACTTTCCTTCCTATGGAGATGATAAGCATTGTAGATTACTACTGGCCACAATCCTTTCCTGCCCATTAGTTGACACCACTGGACAATATCACTGAGCTAGCAGATGTGGAAAGTTATTGAGAAATTATGGGAATAGGAGTTTTTAAATTAATGAGAGGGTTTGATAGAGTAGATGGGGTGAAACTATTTCCACTGGTTGGTGAGTCAGTAACCAGAAGGCATCAATTGAAAATAATTTTCAAAGGAGCAAAATTAGGGATGATTTTCTTTATGCAGAGTTATTTGGGTGTGGATTGTCCTGCTGTATTGTGGATGAGGCAGGATCCATATTAGCCTTCAAGAGAGTACTTGATAGAGATTAAAAAAGAAAACTTTAGGGATATGGGGAAATGGCTGGTTAATGGGATTAATGGATTTGTCTTTCAAAGAACCAGCACAGGCTCGATGGGCCAAAATCTTCTGTGCTGTAAATTTCCTCTCACTCAGCCAATGATGTATACTGGGATCCAGTTGTACATGGCAGCCCATTATCTTGTCTAAGTGGGTAATCATTATGTGTGAGCCTTGACATTGAGTATCGGGAACCCTTTTGACCTAGGAACTATTGCAGCAGAATCCAATCCTGTATTCACCACATAGCCACACATACGTAATTTTCAACAGGGAGGAGAACACAGGTTATTCATGGGCGAGATCATCACTGAATATTTTTTCCCCCTTGCCCAAGGACAGTGAGGCCATTTGTGTGAGGCCATTTGTAGCACCCTTACTGCAGCACTGGCTGAAATAAGCTAAATCAGCACAGGAAGCTTCCTGGCCTTAAAGCTCAGAATTGTAGGATGTGGTCCATTTAACAAGTAAAACATTTTGTAAATCAATGTTTTTACTGCATCACTTGTTACCGGATAGCAATCAGGGGGCAGGAAACATGTTGATTTTCACCTTCCCACTCCAAGGGTGTTAAACCAATTTCAGCACTGGAAGGCCTGATTGAGATCAGCTAATTGGGTACAGATTGGGAATTAAACTTGTGGATTTGGCATAGTGCTACCCAAGTGGTGCCTTTACCTACAGAGCAATTCAATTCAGAAGTCCCACAAATGAACATTTTACTCTTTTTTTTACTTCTCTTTTACACTGCTCTCAGCTGTGCGTTAAGGCGGGCAACCTATTCCTAGGCATGTGCCAAATCTGCCCTGAGAGTAGCCACTGAGAACTGCAGCAAAGCAGCCTGAATAGTGTTTCCTGTGAAGTTTTGTTCGTTTACTGTCAGTAACTATCCAAGGTGTTTGGTGTCTCCTAAGATAGTACAGCTGAGATGAGGAGCAACAACTGAGAAAGTCATACTCACGCTCTCTCCTATTACTTCATGGCATGTTGTATTAATGACTTCTTTGTATGGTGAAGATCAAACATTCCTGGGTCTGCTCCATATTATAACATTCTGTTTAACACCTCTTATTGTGCTGATATCATTCTTCCATTCTATACTTTCTGGCCTTTTGTCTAAAAGTGTGAATATTTTTATTGCTTCAAAATTGTGTTTGCTACAGACTACTTTTAGACTTGGAAGAAAATCCCAAAGAATAGGTCTATTAAATTCTACAGTTATATTGTTGCTCCCAACCTCATGACTGACACCATTTCTGAAACAGATTGTGGATTTAAACTGCCAACTTAAAGGTAACAGAATACAATACAAACTTAAATTTGTTTAGTGCCTTTCAAGAATAAACAGAATTCACAATCAGCTACTGAAACACACACATGTATGTCTGCTGATTGGCTTCTATTTGCTAATGGAATAACTGAAGTTGGAAAAATACTGGCTGGATAGTTAATAATTTGCAACACGAGTGACGTGGGGGCATTTGAGCAAACTGAGTGAATTATCTTTAAATGTTAATGTTATAGCTCAAGTATTGTGAGATAGTCGTCACCAGATAGTTTCAGTCAGGCCAAACAGAAAAACATGGAATCGATGTGAGTTCAATTTGGTTACAGTGCAATTATATGGTGCACTTATGTTCTGTGTGATGCTAAACCCCACAGACTTTGCACCAATGCAAGACCCAGTGTACTGCACTTCCCCCAGTTCCCCCAATCTTATTATGAGATTTACTCGCTTGATTAACTGGGCTTTTGCACATTGCCAACATTATCTAACCAATTGCAGCAAAGTAGACACGTCAGATGAATCTGTTGCGAGAAAAATAAATATTTACAATTCTGTTTATGATTGTGGCTCTTGTTGTTCGTTTCGGTAAGATAGCTGCCAAGTTGGACAATAGTCACCTTCTGTATAAAATCATGCACAGCTGCTGCCAGGAGCATTTTGTCCAAAATAAAGTTTCATTCAGAGGTGCCTCACTATCAGCACCACTGATGAGGTTCAGATTGATCCTCTCCACACAAGTGTCCGCACTCATTACACGACACAGTCGAATCTGACCACAGATGTATTATTAATTGCTTCAATCAGGCAATAAAATTGTCAGTCTTCTTTTAACGTCTTTTAACGTATTCTTCTTTATTCTTTTCTTTTTTTAAAAAAAAGAGGGGTGGGAAACCCGGATTCCGATTGTGAGGCATTGCCAACATTTTAAGTGGTCTTTTGTTTTCCCCCTTCCACCAAAAAAAACAAGGTGTGAGGAGGAGGAGGAGGAGGAGTAGTGCCCCCAAACAAAAAAAAGCCACAATTTTTTTTAATTTTTTTAAAAAAATGTATTGATTTAATTTTTTGGGGGCAAAAAGGAAAACATCGAAACAACTCGTGCAATTTCCGTGCAAAACTGCTCTGTGTGTGTGTGTGTGTGTGTGTCTCTCTCTCTCTCTCTCTCTGAGTGTGTGTGTATCTGTGTGTGTGTATGTCTCTCTGTGTGTCTCTATGTGTGTGTGTCTGTGTGTGTCTCTCTGAGTGTGTGTGTCTCTGTGTGTGTCTCTCTCTCTCTGAGTGTGTGTGTCTCTGTGTGTGTGTGTGTGTCTCTGAGTGTGTGTGTCTCTGTGTGTCTCTCTCTCTCTCTGAGTGTGTGTGTCTCTGTGTGTCTCTCTCTCTCTCTCTGAGTGTGTGTGTGTCTCTGTGTGTGTGTGTCTCTGTGTGTCTCTCTCTCTCTCTCTCTGAGTGTGTGTGTCTCTGTGTGTGTGTCTCTCTCTCTCTCTGAGTGTGTGTGTGTCTCTGTGTGTGTGTGTCTCTCTGAGTGTGTGTGTCTCTGTGTGTGTGTGTCTCTCTCTCTCTGAGTGTGTGTGTGTCTCTGTGTGTGTGTGTCTCTCTGAGTGTGTGTGTCTCTGTGTGTGTGTGTCTCTCTCTCTGAGTGTGTGTGTCTCTCTGTGTGTGTGTGATGTGCAGTGCTCGTGCAATGCTGGTGCTGGTGAGCAGGTTCCCCTCTCCCTCCCTCCCTCTCCTCTCCACTCCACTCGCTCAGAGCAGAGCAGAGGCTCTCAGTTCATTGCTAACACTGTCACATCCGCGCGGATCAGCTGAGCCGCGCGTCACGTGCCTCGGTGTCGAAGGTCAGTGCGGTTACAATGGAGCTGCCGGAGTCTGCCCTCGCGGGGCTGCAGTCCCTGGCACATCCCGCCCGCCTTCCCCACAAAACCTTCCAGCTGCTGCTGGAGGCCGCCTTCCACAACCTGCTCCACCCGCAGGCGGATGGCACGGCGTTAGGTGAGCGAGCGAGCGGGCGGGCGGGCGGTGTGCGTGTGAGCGCGCGCGCGCGGTGCGGGTGTTGTGTTTTTATTATTAAGAGAGTGAGTGAGAGAGAGAGAGAGAGAGAGAGAGCAGTTTTGCAGCAGCAGGAGGAGGAGGAGGAGGGAAGGAGGAAGGCGGGGGGCTTGTTCGGTTTCAGTGCAGGAAGGACTCAGGCGGGCAGGGAAGGCAATGCAATGCATTGCAATGCAATGCTCCCTATTGCAGAAGCCTCCCTCCCTCCCTCCCTCCCTGGGCTCTCAGCGTTTCTGCGCTGAAACCTCAGACCCGGAGCTCGTCCGCTCTGGGTGCAGTTTTAATTCGCAGCGGGGACTGCGCTGCTTTGCAAACCCCCGCGGCTGCTTTGCGAAATGGCTGCCCCTTCCCGGCTCGGTTCTCTCGTCCCTCGCTCTCCGCGGTGCTGCGGGATTCACATCCGAGTCCGGATCATTGTTGTGGTCCCGACTGTCTCGGGGCCTAATGTTGTCAGCGTGGCCGAGGGAACATGCATTCTGCTTTCCCTCATTTGCTTAGCAAACGTGTAAAAGGTCCCACGTTCCCCCCTCCCCACACACACACTCACACACACACACCCCACACACTCACACACACACACCCCACACACACACACACACACACCCCACACACTCACACACTCACACACACACACACACACACCGCCCGCCCCCAAAGCAGAAATGAGTCAGGGGTGGTTTCAGAATAAAATCCGCTGGCGGTGCTTCACCAGACAACCGTTCAAAACAATCGAGCAAATCGCAAAGCAGAAGTACAATAAAAAGTAAAATAATTCCGCCAGCGTCTGCTGTGTTCGGCAGTTTTGCATTTATTTTTTTTATTAATAAAATACAATAAAATAAAATAAGCAATCGCTGTGAAACGCTGCACTGTGTACATCGCGCGGACGCTGCCCGGCCAACAAAAGGGCTCGGAAATGTAACGTGTATTTTGCTGTTTCTTGTTGTGTGTGTATGTGTAACCCCCTCATGGTTGCTATGCAGATCATGCAGAGCTGGGATCCCTGGACCCGACTTTACTGAAACAATCCTATGCAGCCATCACAACCTGTATATTGGAAGCAGGGAAACAAAACGCCGACAAATCAACACTAAGGTTACATGGCTACTTCTGAATGTTATTATGCCTTCACTTTTTTTTTGCTGCGGTGGCGTGTTCGGCGAGCAGAGGCGTTTTCCTGTAACTGTTGTCCATTTCATTTCAGCACATTGCTTGAAGAGTGTAGATTCGGATCGGAGAGAATAGACACGTTTTGCACAGAATATCAGGTTTGGGAGTCTGCTGCCACTGTTGTGATATCAGACCGTAACTTGTGTAAAAATACGAGACTTGTTCCCGTCACCAAAAGCCGCCAAACAATGCAATTACTCAGAGGATACTAACTGTTTATTCTTGCTCCAATGTCGCATACATACATACATACATACCAGCGAACATTAAGTTGTTTTAACGTAGCGCTAAATCAATTGATGTGGATTTATTATTGTTCCAACATCATATGCATAGCAGCGTACATCAAGTTGTTTGAACGTACATCTAATCAAATAATACGGATTGTTTATTATCGTACCAACATCATATACATGACAGTCTACGTTAAGTTGTTTTAAAAGAATGGGACAGTGTAATTGTGATTTTGCGGCTTTCTATAGACCCGCGCAAATGTTCAGCGCATAAAAATCGCTCCCTGTAAACTCTATCTGGTTCACCCCATTCCCTGCCTTTTCTCCATATTCTTTGATAGTTTTCATTTACTGTGGATAATTTATACCGTGGGTAACTTAATTCTTTTTTTAATGTCATCCAAATTATACTGTGACACGTCTTATCTAATTTTTGCACACGTTTATTGAAAGTTGTCACTCGGCTGGAGCCAACTTTGTGTGAAAGGCGCCACACAAGTGTAATTGTGTTGTTATTTGTAAAGGGATCGTGCGGGTTAAGTCGCTGTATTTCCTTTTTTTTTCATATTTAGAAAAATAAAGGTAAAGTGGAAGCCTTGCTAGGAAGGTGAGTGGTTTATTTTTTCTAGCTAGTCGAATTTCATCCCGGTCCTGGTGTTTTGTGGTGTCTGCGTGTGCAGTTTAGGCCTGAGCAATAGCTGAATTGCCGTCAATCTAAGATGTCTTGGATCACTCATTAGGATTATTGTAAAGTATCAATTTGCACTATGTTTTCAGCCTTTCAAATGAGGTTTTGCAATAGCGGCTTACTGCTAAAACAACACGCAGCTGGAATGTTTTTTTTTTAAAACTGCTGTTATAACGTTTGAAGAAAAAACTGCAATCCTTCTCAGGCGATCGGTTAATTGAGGAGACTGAATTCATTGAAACAGCGAATAATTGAGCAAGTTTTCAAACTTGCGTTGTAATCCCAAGTTGCTATATTTGGATTATGCATCCTATCGGAGAGCGATGTTTTATCGTTTTGTATTTTAAGTTATTCAATCGCAACGTTTCAATAAATGTGGAGAATCTGAATGCGATTGAGCTTTCAATCAAACTGAGCTCTCAATTGTTGTTTGGTGAGAGAAGTTGTGTTTTTTTTCCCCAAAACTTTCTCGGCCATTTGCGGAGGCTGTGCATGTGAGACTTTGGGGGAGATTAAACAGGAATGTCAGGGAAATCAATGCAAATTCTGTGGATGTGACTCGCCGTTTGCTTACGTTTTCACAACCTTGTTTATTCATTCTCTGTTGTGTCGTTACAATCGGTGAACACTTCCATGTCTTCAAAATAAACGATTGTTCAAAATTTTAATGTGAGAGTTGAAGTATTTGAGTATCTCTAGAGTAAGGTCGCATGTGTTGGCCGAATTCAACAGATTTCACTTATTGCTCTCCACCTACTTCTTTTCTGCTGTCTCTTTTCTCGTTGATGATTGAGATGCAGCTCTTTCATATTTTTTAAAAATGAATGGACGCTGTATGTCTCTGTCAGTTAATGCACAGGGCACTGTCTATGAACTTTATGATGCTCACAAGACGGAGGAAAATTCTTGCCCCACCTTCCCTGTAGGAACAACAATTCAAACCTCACACGCGATTTTCGTGCATTTTTTTCTTTTAAGACATTTTATTTCAAGAAGTTTTTTTTTCTTTAATCGGGAGAACAAATCTATTTTTGGACGAAATCGTGTGGGGCTACATATAATATTTGGATACAGTCTTATTGATTTCTGGGTAGAGGTATGACACATGGAAATGGGGAAATATTATAATGAAGAAATATTAGGAATTCGCAGCATTGATACAAAAAGTGTTAATGTACGACGATTGTTCTAAAATGGTCTTAACTTTGTTTGCTGTATGTGTTAAATATTTTGCAGCATAGGACGCTATCCATCTCATATCACTGACGTTTCTTGGCGGTTGGAGTATCACATTAGGGTAAATAAAAACTAAAGAATTTTCCAACCATTACCTTGATGGCCTGAGACTGAACCCATTCTTGTATTGTATTCCAGAATAATCATCTTCATAAAGTCAATCAGCCATCGTATTTATTAACCTTGAAGGCAGAGGTAAGGGTTAAACCAGCGAGTATTGGGTTTAATATTTGATTTGTGCATTCTATACGTGTTGAGATATTATTTTGACCTTTTGCAGAATGGTGAGGCCAGATCAGCTGAGGATGTTACTTTTAGCTGCAGCATGGAACAGTTACAGGTACTGTGTCAAAACCTGTGCTTCATGTGGAGAAAATCATTTGCCGGTGTGTTTTGTATTATGTCAAACTCAACAACGTGGAACCTGGTTTTCAAATACTCTCCATTCCTCAAATCCATGATTGGTGACTGGTAGATTTTGGGGGGAAATGTAAAGATTAATCAGCACATTGCCATTTTTCTCCTGTGGTATGAAGTTTTCAAGCACGTTGAGGTTAATTATTATTTTTAAGGGTGACAACGCTATTTAAAATGTTCAAACAGTTCAACATTTACAGAAGTGTGACTGAGAACCCGCCGTTCTGTGTACACAGAACTGAGAATCTCGATCTTGTTAATTCCTGTATTGCTTGACTGTAGGGTTTAGAATACATTTTTGTAGGAAATCAAATTTACAGCCCTTTTGCACCCATCAGTTTAAAAGCAGACGGTTTTTCTATCTTGCGATCTCAACTTTCCCTGCAACTTTATCATAGTGCGCAATCTGTGTAATTGTTTCTTTACAATAATGATTACCGACTAATGCACTAACTACAGAACTGTTCCTGTCCAGTGAGTGATTGGACTGCACTGTGTTTTGTGAACGCTTTTTCGTTTGCTAACTATTGTACTAGTGAAGTTTTAATTTTTTCTTTCTTACAACTAACTTTTTTTTCTCACTGACTTTTCTCTTTTTGCAGAGTGTAATGTTGTATTGTTGCTTGACCTGTTTGAAAATTTTAATTTATTTCTAAACCGATTTCACGTTGCTCAGTTCCCTGAGAGCAGTCCTCTTGATTGTCAAAGTCTCTGGTCACTTTTTGTTTGTTGTAACCTCGTGGCGACTTGGAAACTGTCAAAATCCATCGTACGAAAAATGTATTTGAACATTGCAATTTCATAATTTGTTTCAAAGCATTTTGTTTTTCACGGTCGTTTTTTTTAAAAAAAGAAAATGGTTTAAATGGGAGTTTTTTTCATGTTTAAAATAAAGTTTGGGCTGAGCGTTGCATTTTATAGCTCCAAACTAAAATAAATGATGTACCCCTGAACAAGAGCATTAAGTTACGTTGCATTAAACCGCATCTAGTGGATTTCAAAAAGAAATCCGGTTTGTGACTACAGGACATGGATGTTAAATTTTAATTGTTGAATTGATTTTCCTCTCTGTGTTAAGATGGCTTTCGATACTCTTACATTTTGATTTATTTGAAGAAAATCTATTAGGGTTCCCCCCTTTGACATTTTATGAATTCACTTTTTCACATGACATTTCTGTGCCAGTGCATTAGATTATTCACTATTTTTTTATATGCTGTATTTACTTTTTTTAAAAAAAACTTGTTTTACAGGACCTTTTAGGGAAGTTAAAAGATGCGGCTAAAAGCATGGAGAAGGCGAGTCAGATGTAATGAATTGAGCTGTGGGGCAGCGGGGTTGAACTTGCAGCTCAGAGTGGCAGAACCCGACCCCATCCATATTCTATGCAGAGTTTCTGAACAATTAATTGTTTGTGTTTGCTCTTTTTCTGTAAACTTTGACCAGCATATAAAACGCCGCCTTACACTCGAGTTAATAAAAAAAAGGGCAGAGGAAGCAAAGATTTTGTTGCACCACGACTTGTGAATATTTCCAATGGAGTTAACGTTTTGCACACTTTGCCCTCATGTGTGTATAACATTTTTTTTCCCACAATAAAAATATGCTCACTCTGCTCACCCTGTGTTATGTGTCTCTGTGTGTTTTGGATATCAAAATTGGATGAACGTCGTTAACATGTGTTGCCCATTTTCTGGGCAGCACAGGCTGTGTTCGTGTGAAGTGTTATGATTTATTGAAAATACCTTGAACTTTTTCTGACTTCTGCTTCATCACCGGGCTCTCAATTTTTAAAAGCTAAATCTGAAAAGGGGCTTTCTTAGCGACATCAAAATAGCAACATCAGACTGTGGGTGTCGATTTAAACCGATACCAAGTTGTTTTTAATTGTTTCAGAATATAATCGCGTGACACCAAGTAAAATCGACTACATATTACAAATAAGATTGGCTTTATCTTGCCATTTTTTTNCAGCCCTCGCCTTCTGCCTCCGTGTTTTTTTAGAGAGTAACAAATTAACAACAGAACTGATAAACAGCAAGAAAATATACACCAAGGCAACTTTTATTGTGAATATAAATCGCAATTCGCGGTATTCTGTATCTCTCGCTATGAGCATATTTTCAATATATGCATAAATATATATCTTTCCGAATAAGCACGTTTCCAAAATGCCTGGCAGTGCATCTTAGTGGAAGGTATATTCGCTTGTTTTGTTTTGTTTGCATTCGCGATAAATCCGGAGAGCGAGTTTCTAAATTCAAAACTGTGCTCAAAAGATCCAGACAGTTTGACGATCTGAAACTCGGTTGATGTGTGGGTGGGTGTTTGTGTGTTTGAAGTCGGGACCGTTTTAAAAAGTCAAGATCTTAGTTTCTGTGAGCCCGAAAGAGGGTGAAAAAAATATATGCGCGGGTGTGTGTGTGTGTGTGTGCGTGAAGGGTGGTGGAGGGGTGGGTGGAGAAGGAATAAAAAATAACACGGCAAAAATATAGTGGCAAACAAACGATGGTGATAAACCTCCCAAAACGTCGCCCTTAACGATCTTAAATAACCATCGCACGGTTCTGACCTATTCGGGGTCTCTGTGGTATGTGCAATCGTGTGGTTGACATTATAATTTAGTCGCGGCGTGACATTAAATTGATACATTAAATAACGCCAACCAACGTGTCGGGGAAAGCCAGAGAGCTTTGCTGGTCGCTCGCGTTGCAGAAGGAGAGGAGGGTGGAGAGGAGAGGAGGGTGGAGAGGAGAGGAGGGTGGGGAGAGATTCTTGCATTACAACTCCGAAGTAAACAACGCGCGGGGTCGTGTTTCTGTATTATAATTCTTATTATCGCAGTCCTCCGTTTTGCGAGGAGACCACCGAGAGCAAAAAAAAAACAACGCTCGTTGCATTGCAAACAGGATACATGGAGCTTCCCCCCCCCCCCCCCCTCCTCTCTCTCTCTCTCTCTCCTCTTCTCTCTCTTTCTCTCTCACTCCAAAAAAAAGCTGTGTGTGATGATATTCGTAAAAAAAAAGGAGGGAGGGAGGGAGGGAAGCTTTGCAAAAGCGGTGGAGTGGGTGGGCTGTGGGTTTGGGAGGGTTGGGGGTTATCTTGGAGGAGGAGGAGGGGGGGGGGGGAGTGGCTGGGTTAGGGGTTGGGGTTTGGGGTTAGGGGGTGGTGGTGTGTGTGTGTGTGTGTGTGGGGGGGGAGGGGGTAGAGTGAGGAGGAGGGAAGGGAGGGTGGTGGGTGGTGTGTGTGTGTGTGTGGGGGGGGGGGGGGGTGTGGGTGTGTGTGTGTGTGTGGGGGGGGGGGGGGGGGGTTGTGGGCTGTGATCACACCGACACCAATTCCCAGGCCACCCTTAAGGAATGAGACCACGTGACGGAGCGGGGCGGGCGGACTCGAGCCATTTTGGGGACGGTGTCAGTTTCACGGCTCCCATCACTGTGGGGCTGCGTTTTATTTTACGCGCACACACACACACACAGACACGCACACACGGACGGACACGCACGCACACGCACACACCATACACATACAAACCCCGTCACACACACACACACACACGCACGCACACAACACACAACACACACACAACACACAAAAAAAAACTTCCACCGAGAGAGAGAGAGAGAGAAGGGGTTTGGGGGAGGAATCGGACCATCATCTGCCGCCGCTCCTGAACCAGGTAGATCGGGTTTAACAAAATGTTGCAACAGTCCGCGCCGGCGTTGCAAGGCTGCGCGCAAAAGGCTGGTTTTAACGAATGCTTTCTCTCTCTCTCTCTCTCCCCTCTCTCTCTCTCTCTCTAAACTGCAGCCTCTGCTATTGCAATTGACAGCGTCTGCAGTTCATGCAAGATGGCCGCTTGGCTGCGATTCATTTCCCCCCCCCCCCCCCCACCACCCCCCCCTCCCCACCCCCCTCCTCCCCACCCCCCTGATCTACAACTTTCATTGTTTTCCGCGGGGTGCAGGCGCTTTGCTGAGGGGCTGCCGTGCCAAGGGCATGCGATCTCCGAGGCTTTGCGACGTGGAAAAGATCTTCCAGGTGCATTTGGGCCGCTCCGGAGGCTGCTTTCGCTGTTTGAAACGTAACCCCGGTGTTGCTTCTTTTTTTTTTGCACACACACACACACACACACACAGACACACACTCTCTCTCTCTCTCTCTCTCGCTCTCTCGCTCTCTCCGTCTGTCTCCAGCTCTCTCTTTCACTCCCCCTCCCTCCGTCCATCCCTCTCCCTCTCCCTCCCTCTCAAGGCTGACAGCGGCTCACCCACCCGTCTCCCCCCGTCTTATTTCCACCCAGTTTCGTTTTACGCACTTCATTTTTACCTTGCAAAAAAAAACTGTTCGGTTCTCAGCCGCGCTTCGCTCTGCAACCTTCCCGATCGTTCGCATCGAGGCAGCAATATTTATACTTTCGATCGTTGCGAGTCGGGAGGTTTGGGATGCCGCGGATTTTTATTTAGATTTCTTTGAAATCGGAGCGGAGTGGAAATTTGCAGCTCCGCCGCTGAAATGTTATTAGTCAACCCAGATACTAATGTATATTTTGGCAGCAAGCGAGGGGCCCACTGGAACGATTTTATAGAGTTGGGATCTATACAGAATAGGGAACCCGCCAGGGTGGTTGTTTGGGCAAAGGAGCGATCCTGATGTATTTTCTGAACTTAACATCTTGCAAGTAACTCAGGCAGATTCTGACGGTAAACATGGCGGTTGGTCATGGTGTGCCCCCCTTGTAGGAGATGTGCTCGTGGTGCAAAGGCGAACAAACCAGCAATTTCAAAAGCTTTTGTCATAACTGGTCATCCAAATGTTTCGGAACAGGGATTTCCCTGTGAGTTTGTGGAGGTTTTTTTTGTTCTGGTGTTTGCAGTTTGCAGTCAAAAGTTTATCAGACTATCAGATTGACAGGAATGATTTTCAGTGGCAGAACACGAGGTTTGTGGGGCTGGTTATGAGAGGCAGGAAAGTCTTTCCCCTCTTCTTGATCAGTTAGAATTATTACAGTAGATTCCGAGAACATGTTGGCTCTGTGGACTGTCCCATGTCTGGTGATGGTGAAAGCTGGTGGTTTGAGTGTGTGGTGGTTGGTGTGTGTGCGTTTTCTGTGTGTGTTGGTTGGTGTGTGTGTTTTCTGTGTGTGTTGGCTGGTGTGTGTGTTTTCTGTGTGTATGTGTGTGTCGGGAGGGTTTTTTTTATACAAGCTGGATATGTTGTTGCACTCTTCATGTGTGTGACTACCAAATGTACTTTGTGTAATGGAACCTCTGGTGGCCTTGACAGGAGCTTAACGGTTCATTTTGGGGGGTTGAACATAAGCAAGCAGGAATAGAGATTTAAAAAAAAAGCAAGACTATGCGAGACCTACCAGAAAAGGGAATACTATATTTTCTATAAGTGCCCCACTGCCCTACATTTGGTTACGTTTCAGTTTTGGGGGTTGGCAAATTATATTTGCTGCTATGAAAATAGAAATTGCCACCACATGCTCAGGAAGACAGTGGACACGCAAAAGAGAAAAAAATAGGTTAACTTTGCGGGTGCGACCCTAAACCCCAGAACATTCCTCACCATGATTTCTCTTGTGATGTCGCTGTGAAGCGTATATCCAGAGAGCAAAACGATTTCAGATGAGAGCAGATAAGTCGGCTAAGTTGACAGCCTGATTTCTCGCCTCCCCTCAATCACATTGGTGTACAACAAATTCCTGTCACTAGTCCCAATTACTTTATAATCTTTCCAAAGTGGCCCTGACCTCAGTACAGTTAGGTACTCGGAATCTACTCACCCTAAACCCAATCGACAGTCCACACTACATTTAGCTCATGCCTCGCCTTGTGTTCTGGGGGTTTAGGATACGTGCAACGTGCAGAAGATGTGCTTTTCAATATGATTCATGAAACAGTAGAGATTTACCTTTTTGTGTGTGTGTGTGTGTGTGTGGTTTAGCGTCATTACAACAACACGGCCACACTATGACGGAGAGATGTAAATAGAGTGGTTGTGTGCATGTGTGGGTGTTGACGGGTGTAATCTCTTGTAGATTCATTGTATGTGTGTGCGGGGAATCACCCCACACATTGGACAGCTTACAATCGTTTCTGGGAACCACTTTTTTTTTAATCAAAATGCCCCTTTTTTTGTGTGTTTGTCAACGCTGCGGTTCTCTTTTGGATAATCCAGACTCCTTTTTGAGTCGGTTTCTTGTGTCTTAGAGACGATTTTCCGAGTGCACACGTCAAACCGTGTACCCTGCACACTGTCATCTGTGTTTGATCCAAGTATTTTTTTTCTCACTCCCCCCCCCTCCCCCCCCCCCCCACACACACACATTGAAACATGGATTTCTTTGTTGCTGCGGGATGATGTGGGATAAATTGCTATAAAGACTAATTGCCTACCGTGCCGATAATAAAGAACATCGGGCTCCAACAACAAATCAGATACACAAAAGTTTAACAGCTGAAATGAATTATCGACCACAAATGGAAGCCCACGGGTACCTGAAATAAAACACGTGTGTTTACATTGGGGGCATATACAGTAAGGCTATCTGCCGCGGTTATCGATAATCTATCGATCAGTTTAAACCCCCCACTCGGTCTGTTGATCTGCCCTCCATAAGGGACGGGCGATCACGAGTCTGGTGGGAGAGGGGCGAAGCGTTGCGAAACACGTGGTTGATTTTTATTTCATTTTTTTTTCCCTCCTCCTTTCGCTGAACGGCCGCATTGTACTGAATGGTGTTAACTGCGCCGCTGGTGTGGACTGCACACTACAAGTGGATAACTGTCTCGTGGTTTCTGTTGCCTCCCCGCTAAATCAGAAAAAAAACAAAATAGTTTTTTTTACACACACGCACACACGCGCGCACACACACGATTTGAGTGCGTGAGCGAGTGAGTCAAGTCTGAGCTCTCCATCAAACTACAGTAAATAAACGGGGAGTGAGAGAGAGAGAGAGAGAGTGAGTGAGTGAGTTAGAGAGAGAGAGAGAGAGAATGTGTATTGGGTTGTGTCAGTGGACTGAATGACTGACTGCCTGAAGGGTTGTGGGTTGTCACTGGATCTCCACTCATTTCAGTAAATCGTTTGTTTGCGTTTCAACGCAAGTTTGATGCAAACATAATCTATGTTGATTGTTCCCTGGTCCCATGTTATGGTTTGATTACTTACTGCCAAACGTCGCGCGTCGGCGCTGTAGGTGAAATCTACTAACTCTAAACCCAATCTACATGAGATGTAATGAATTGTATTGTTTGTCGAAAAGCTTACCCACCCTGGAGAGGTAGCGTTGCAGTGAATTTTCATGCGCTCTGGTGTTCATTTGCGCCGCCTTGGTCTGAATTACAGTACAGCGCGTCATATGCTTATCTGCAGGTTGTCAGTTTCTTGTTGATTTCTTTCTGAAGCAGAAGCCAACTGTTCCCTCCTTTTTTTTTCTCAACATCCCCCCCCCCCCCACCACCCCACCCCTCCCCCCACACCCAAAAAAAAAATCCAGCGGGCAAGATACTGCAAGTTTAATGAAACATTGCATCTATGTTAATTCATGTTTTCTGATCACTTTATTAATTAATTATTAATCAATAGGCGTGCTCTATCAAAGTGACCCTGGGTTGTGGACCCGCAGCTCCATTAAGCTGCTCTGGGAAGGAGAGAGACAGGCGTTTTGCAGAAGAAAATTGTGTGATCACAAAAGCCGCTACTTAAAGCTAGTGTCGACGTGGAAACTATCTCAAGGAGAGCCAAAAAAACGATGATGTGCGCTGTGTTAGGGCTCGTTTGAAATGGCGGTGAGATTTGCATGTTTAGATTGCTCACATAGTCCTCTGATCGTGATTGCCATGTAGGTTTTCAGTTTGTGATATTCTCACATGACCGCTGTGTGGTTCCCCCCGCAGAAGCTCGCTCTATTTTCGGTCCTTTGGCAAAATGCCAAGTGTAACCCAAGTTGCTATAGTAACTGCAAGAATTGCCGAGTATGGGCACCAGCAGACGTCAATTTGCCTTTTTGATCATTAAAAAATGGTCTGCGTGTATGGCATTTGGCCCTATTTATTCTGCAACTTGGAACAAACGTGTCAGTTTGGTGGTCAGAACCCTATTACTGATGCAGCAGCTCGATGTTTGATTAAAATATTTCCATCGAACATGTAATTGCCGGAAATGGCTTTATGGAACACAATTCTTCCTGTTTCGCTTTAACGCGGGGGTATAAGATTCGCTGCTTCTTAATGTCAAAGCAGAAAAGACCTGCGTGTGAGCTCAACCCCAGTCTCGCCGATCCCTGTAACACGACAAATCCTGTTGCAATAAAAATAGTCGCTTTGTCTAGTGGCGATTTCTCATCGATCCCGGCGGGACTCGAAACGGCGTAAATATGATCCCAAAGGCATGTCGGTTTCACCGAGGGAACCGTGTGTGTGTGTGTGTGTGTGTGGTGTGTGTGTGTGTGTGTGTGTTGTGGTTCAACTGCCTTGTATTTGGACGTAAAGCCCAGCAAAGGCGGGTTTGTTATGTTTAAACATAAAGGAAACAAAGACAGCCGAGAGAGGCATCGCCAGTGCCACACAACATTCATCGTCACACTAACCTGCATGCGGTCGGTGTATGGTTTTTATCTTTTGCAATTAATAACCGCAAACGTCAAAATAAAGGTGGTGTGTGTGTGTGAGTGTGTGAGTGTGTGTGTGTGTGTGAGTGTGTCAGACCTGCCTGCAAAGTCTAGCTTTTGTTATCGCAACGTTTCAGCCTGCGTTTAAATGGATTCGAGGCATTCGGGATTAATTGGGCGCGATTTGGCACATTTTATATATATATATATGTGTGTGTGTGTGTTTTTTCCTTAAGAAGCAACTCTTCACTCACACGACCGGTGCTCCCCACTTTTCTCAGTGTTCCCTGCAAAGCGATCCCGACTGTTTTTGGACCCCAGTGTTTTTTTTTTAAAAAAAAACAATGCAATCTCACGCTGTCGTTTTCTGCTCAAGAGAAAGCCAAAATAGGAGACTATTGATTCCCCGGTGTTAGTTTGAGAAGATGTCACGCTGTCGTGCTGCTGTTCGCTGATTGAATTTGACGAATGTTCCGAGATGGCCACACTCTTGTCGAACACCACGGTTTGTTTTTTTTTTGCTCACCAGCCACTTGTGCAATAACTTGCCATTTTAACCCACCGTTTGCTGTCCAAAACAGTTTTGTGGCTGAGCTCAGCGGCTTGTGCCCGACGACGACGACGACGACGCACCCATTCGCGTTGCTTGCAGTAAACACGCCAGTGAACTTGCTCAACCCGGGGGGGGGGAGAAGGTGTCCATCGCAGTAACCCATCTACCTGGGTTTTATACGCGTTTTTTTTATTATTTCTGTTCAGCTTTCAGAAGAACGCGGCCATTTTAGTCAGAACATGCACCGAACTACACGAATCAAAATAACAGAGCTGAACCCGCATTTGATGTGTGTGCTGTGCGGAGGCTACTTCATAGACGCCACAACCATCATAGAATGTCTGCACTCGTGTAAGTATCTGCAGCGTTAGATTCCGCATTTTCAGCTCCCGATTCCCATCTTTCACTTCCCTTCAAAATGATAAATTGCAACACTGTCGAGCGTTTGTTAACAAGACTGTTGCAGATCCCCATTTGCCGGCGGATAAACCATCACCATCAGTCCCTGTCTCTCACCTTCGGAAATCCGTGTTGTTTCTATTCGCAGTTTGTAAGACCTGCATCGTTCGCTACTTGGAAACAAGCAAGTACTGTCCTATCTGCGATGTGCAAGTTCATAAAACTAGGCCCCTTCTTAACATTAGGTATGTATCCACGGGCTGTGCTGATTGCGATAAAGGTAGTTGATTACGTCCTTACATGTGGTGGAATGAAACCTGCGTGAGCTACAGTGCAGCTTGGGTTGTGATCTGTGCTACATTATCAAAAGTGCAATGTCAATCTTTCCAAAACAACCTTTAAGTGTTGTAGCTTTGCCAGTTAGATAACATCACACCGTGTATTTGCAACATCGGATGTCAATCCCAGATAGATGTTGCAAATACCCTATTAGAGATGGTCTGTGGACTGGACTGTGTGAATGAACTGTAGAGCATTGAGGTGAGGTGTGCCAGACCGACCAAAATACACATCAGTCTCAAACAAATGTTACATTTCGCCTGCTTGAAAGTCGGAATCAGTGGTCCAATATACCATAACAGAATAAATAAATAGAAGGAAGTTTTCCAACTCAACTTTGATCGATGTACAGATCTGAGTTTAGTTGGAAAATCGATACATGCAAGGGCAATTACTGGGACTGTGCAATGCTCAATAATACCCTTCTGAAGTGTGTTTGCAATACAATCAATTTCTCTGGTATGTATCTGTATAATAAAGAGACAATTTTGCTGAATTAACTGAAATTAAAATTTCTTATCAATTTTGTAGTTTTTAAGTACATACAAGGTTATGTGTTATTGGAATCAATTTAGCTGAAAACTCTGCAAAGTGAATTATTTAGGTTCAAATTGCTCCTTTGGGCAGCTTTGCTAATTTATACAGAACATATTTTGGGAAATCTCCCATTAAATTTCAATTTGTGCCAACTCAAGGCTTTAAAATGAACTCTGAACATTCCTGTAAAGTTAATGTAATTCTCATGCAAATCAATTGTCTTTGTATGTTTATTTTGTTGTTACGTATGCAGCGAGAAATGGCATTAATCGCAACATGGTTTGTGGAACAATATGTTTCATTAGTATTCTAAAAATATCTATTGCATATCTATTAGAGTTGTTTTTAAGCTCAGACAAGACTTTCCAAGATATTGTGTATAGAGTAGAAAACATGGCAGACTTTTCAGCAATTTTCTTCAAAACTGTTCCAGAAATACTACATTTCACCAAATTCTTTACACAATAAGAGTTTCTGCTGAGTCAATTGAAAATTCTTCATTATGTTAACTGCCAGCTGTATGTATGTACAAAAGTTAATGGAGTAAACACTGTTGTAAATTCATGTTAGTTAACAACATCCATCAGAATGATAAATTCTAGTCTGTTTATAGTGGAGGAGCTAGAGGTAACTAGCAATTAGTTGGTAAAACAAAATGAGCTTGTTCTTTGTTGTACTTCTATGAATCTGTGATTGTAGCATAAACAATTTAATGTTCAACTTGTTGCATGACTGTTGTTATTCCTTGCCTAGCAAAAGAACAGAACTAAAAATATGAAATAGTCTATATTTGTTGTGTAATTTTGCATTACAATATTAAATATATTTGTAATTGTGCCATACGAATTTCACATTCTGAGTTACTACACAGTGAATATAGTTTTTTGGCAAATAAATTCTTCATGTAATTTAGGTCTACTCCTACTTATGGAGATAAAAGTGGCATTTATGGATTGATACATGGAATAAGATGTTTATTGTAATAATGTAAAATAAGTCTGTTGTATTCAAACTTTTAGGTCAGACAAGACTTTACAAGATATTGTATATAAATTAGTTCCTGGCCTCTTTAAAGGTAAGTACAGTACTTTGTTTACAAGATTAATTTACCATTGAATCAAATTTCTCTTTCTGTCATTTCAACAATTAATGAACTTCTGTTTTGTAGATGAAATGAAACGAAGACGGGACTTTTATGCTGCCCATCCTTCTGCTGATGGTAAGTTTTGTCTATTTCTTAAACCCCAAAATTCAATTTTAATTAACAAATGTAACATCATTGTATGTTTAGAAATTCAATCAGGGCACTTGAGAGCTCATGTTTATCACCATCATAATGTAACCAAGCTTTATAATTTATTTAAAAAATGAAAATGTATGTCACTGTGGTAAGTCTGTTGCATTGTGGTAATTTTAAAATACATATTATAGTTTTGAAAACCCAAATTGTAGGTTACATTTTGTTATTGCATATCATTTCTTTTACATATGCCTTTTCAGATGGAAGTGAACTTGAACAGTAATAATTTTATTCCACTTACAGGACCACTCCTATTGTTTTTATATCATCTTAAAAGCATATTTATGTTAGACTTGATTTAATGTTAAATTAATATTAAGTATGGTTTGATGTTAAATCTTTAGTTTTACAGTTTTGCATAAAATTATTGCCAGTGTGTATGTGTAGTTTAAACTGTGAGCAGTCTTAAACTACCTTAAATTAATCTACAATGACATGTTCCTCCATCATGCAATGATAAACAGAGTTCAAGAATCATGAAAAAAATTGTCGTACATATAATGGACTGCTTTTCTTCTGTAGTTATTTGGATCTTGAAAAATCCAAATTACAACAACATTTCATTTACTGAAATTTTTAAATATAGTATTTAAACATAGAACTCTCATGAATTAGTTTTGAATGTTAAAAAAAAGTTAGGACATTACTGTCTATATGATTTGTTTTATTTAACTAATGCAGCAGCAAATGGCTCTAATGAAGACAGGGGAGAAGTTACAGAGGAAGATAAACGGATTATAACAGATGATGAAATCATTAGCTTGTCAATAGAATTCTATGAGCAGAATAAGTAAGTATGGCACTCAAACCAAAGGGTATTGTTTGTACATTGTCATAAAATTATATTTAGTTATGAAAATTTGTGTTCATTAATAAACTGAGGTTGTTTTTCTACAATAGGATTGAACGAAAAGGAAATACAGACAAGGAGAAGACAAAAGATGAGGTGATAGGACTATGATCAACTGTAACTCTTTACCAATTATCCTCTATACTTGCATGTTTAATTTAATCTTTCTTTATAGAAACAAGACTTTGCAATGGGTATAAAAGTGATTTGAATGGTTAGGATGACGGAATATTTTTCTCTTTACCAAAAAGTACATTGCTACTGTAGCTCAGTTGTTGATTTTTCTTCCAGATGAATGATAAGAGATATCTGCGGTGTCCAGCAGCCATGACTGTGATGCATTTAAGAAAGTTCCTGAGGAGTAAAATGGATATTCCTCATACATTCCAGGTACATTGAACTAGACATTATTGAAGTTTTATAAAATAATATACATTATAAGGTTATATATTTATTATAAAATAAATATTTCTGTGAGGAACGAAGTTTGTATTGTTTTCTAATATAACATTCATATTCTTTGGAGATTTTACTTCCATTTTCTTTGTATTTTGGCAATGGAGTGTTCAGCTGTATCAACATCATTTTTTTCCAGCTTCCTTTGCCACAATACACAAGTGATGTGTTTGATCAACATTTACATCTCAATCTTAAATAGATTTATCCCCATCCCTTTCCATGTTTCACATTATGTACATATTATATTGAATTTTTATTACTGCTCTTCCATTGTGAAAAATGTACAATGGTAAGTTAGTTTCTGATTGGAAATAAAAGGATAGATATATAGCAGTTACAGTATTTGTATGCTTATTCCTCAGTTTCCCAAACTTGGCTCCTAAATTACTCCTGTATAATTAAGAGTGGCATTAATCTACAATGGCATGTTCCTCCACCATGCAAATAATAGTTCAACTAGTAAAATAAATCATAATTACATTATCCTTTGCCGTTCACCCGAATTATGATATACCTGTAGAAATGCACATCATTAATAGTATGACATAAAATTAAATTTTCCTGCTTACTTCAATCTGTACCATGATGCATTGTTACATTTATGAACCGATATTAGGGGATTAGCCCCATGAGAAGCCCATTTAGTTTTTCAATACACAAAGAAAGCAAAGTATGAAAATAGTTTTATTAATAATACTTATCCTTGCATTTGATATATGACTATATATGACTATCACATTGCTGTGACATCTCAAAATCTTCACAGAATATACTGCAAAGTGAATTGACTGTATCTTTTGTGGGTGAAATGCAGCAGCCAATTGTGCACATAGGTAACCCACAAACAATCGTGGATTGAGTGACCACATTTCCTTTAAGGGTTTACTATGTTCCCTTATATAATTTGATGTCTCTGTTTTCTTTGTCACATTAGATTGATGTTATGTATGAAGATGAACCATTGAAAGATTATTACACTCTTATGGATATCGCCTATATTTACACATGGAGAAGGGTAAGGATCATCTATGTGTTCCTATAGCCAAGAAAGATTTCCTTGATCTTTAATTCTCATGAGTTTATTTTGATTTGGATTTCAGAATGGACCACTTCCTCTAAAATATCGGGTGCGTCCAACCTGCAAAAGAATGAAGATTGGCAATCAACAAGATGGATTAAATAACACCAGTGGGGAGTTAGAAAGCGACTCTGGAAGTGATAAGGCAAACAGCCCAGCTGCTGTTCCATCCACATCATCTTCATTGCCCAGTCCTTGCACTCCAGGGCAGTCTCCTCATCCACACTTTCCACACATATCCAGTACCATGAACGGCTCCTCGATCTCCAATGCCAACCACCAAGTCCCTTTCAGTAACAACAGAGCACGCAAATCATCCGTCAATGGCTCATCAGCATCATCATCAGGGTGACTGCTTCTCAAACAGATGGTGCAACGCATATATACAAAGACCTATTCGTGCCATGCGATAATATATAGAGATAGAAAATGCTTAGCATTATGACCATCGTTGACATCACTATTTTGGACATTTGGTTGGAAGTCAGAAACTTTTATGTGGCTTTACTACAAACGGTTTCAACAAGAAATTTTACTCCCATCGGACATTTTTCTGATTTCTAGGAATACAATTTAACAAAGGATGTATATGAGTGGAATGTGTATTGCAGGGATTTGAGGATATTTTCATCTATCAGCATTGGATTTTTATGGCCAATTGACTGGGAAGGATACCGTATTCACAGGATGGAAAATGAAGGAAGGAATGCTGGGTGATATTGTAAAGATGTAAAACATTGGAAGATATTTTGTAAAACTGTGTTTAATCGAATTGAAGTTTACTATATCTGTATATCAACATACTTTTAATTTGACAAGTAATAGACGTTGTGATATTGGCTGTACAGATTGAATATAAAGGCTGAGCGATTTTTCACAACAAAACTCACCAAAAAGGAATTTAAAAGAAATGGAAATTAGAAAGATGTATTCTTTGTAGCCATTTCACTGTGAAAACTGATTTATAGTAGATGTTGCCATCTTTATTTGCTAAATGTTTTCTGGCATCATTAGTTTACCTACCATAAAAACAGTACAGATTTCATCAAGTGGAAATAAAATTGTTTTATTGATTTATAACTTTAAACTTAAAGTGGATATGAAGTATTTCAGTTGCTTGTAGAACTATATAATTTTCTAAAACATAGCAAGCCAGTTGATTAGCTTTCTAGGAGCTTAATCTTAGAAATGCTAACAGAACTTCAATGTTAACAGAAACTCAAATGTGCAGTATTTAAGCATGTACGGTATACATTCAAGATAGTCAGTGTAAGCCATACATGTTCAACCATATATTTAATAGACATACAACCTGAGAATTCAAGTAATTATTTATGCCTTTACACTACTACAGAGAAATAATGGGATATAATGTACAGTGATTTCTAATTCAATACCTTAATGAGGAAACCAGATATATGCTGATCAATGCATTCCACTTTTGTAATAGAGTTGGTGTGACATGTTTCTGTTTACTGGAAAGAATCCCCACTTAGATTCCTTATGAAGGAATGCATTAAAAAACACTGCACATTAAGACACCATTATACAGCAAATAGCCAGTATATGATGTTCTACCTGATTATGTGATTTCTAATTACATTGTTTACATTAATGTTTTCATTTAAATTGAATACCCAACTTGTTTAATTGTTAACATGTTCAAGGTACTTAAATTATATTTCCAAAATTATTGTTGCTCCTCCAGTTCACAATGGATTTTCCACTGAGTATATTATGGGTTGAATTTCAGTCTTGCTCCTGGTATTGTCTAAATCCATGCCATAATAAAGTGGAACAATTCATTTGAAAAGAGAGGTAAATTTAAATATTGGTTATAATGGTATGAATTAGGCTTTTTACTTTTGGGATTTACTAAGACACTCACTAGTTGTCATGGTTCTTTTTAAAAAACAAAAATCCAGCATCTCAAAGGGAATACTGTAAAAACTAAATTAGCAACAATGACTTCATATTATAGACATTATAGCACTTAATGGTTAAATGGCAGCCAATGAACTGTCTCAGTACGACCATCACAGAGTAGATAATCCTAAAACCATAAGTAACATGACAGTGCCTTAGGTACTCTATTAAAAGGTACTTCTGTCAGACCAGCAACTGTAATGCAGAATTATCACTTGTCTAGAGTCACAGTACAAATTGGACGTATGAATTTAAACAAGATGCAACATTTTCTTGTAGAAAATTCATCTTGTTATACGTGTTTCTGTCATGGTGTAAACATGAATCACTGAGAGGTGTGTATAATACACGTGTCTCGTATGTTGCACAATGAAAGCTCTAATATCCGTTTTCATATTCGTATGTTGCCAGTTGCAGAAATTCATATTTAGAGCCATAACAATTTACTTTTTAATGGTTTTCCGGGGACAGTACTTGGTAACTTTAAACTGTACATAGAAATAGATTTGAGAATATACCAGAATCTTTGATGGTATAAAATGTTGTAGAAACTGTTTTGCGTGGTGTTTAAAGTAATTAGATTATACGCTTGTTTGCCTACCTGTATCTACCCCGCAAAACAATGACCATTGTGTCACTTAGCCCTACCTTATCATTGTCAGTCAAAAAATGCTTGCTAGAGGAGCTTTTTTTTAAAAAAATAATAAATCTCCTTTATGATAGTCAAATCTTGTATGTAGAAAGATAAGGTAATAATCAAACCGTACATTGGCAATATTCTACTGAATGATACTTGCAGGAAAAACTGCAAGTAAGTACACAACTTTTTGCTGACAGGTTGGAAAAGAAGCACAATCCACCAGAAAATAACTCATGCTTTAAATTTTTTTATATAGTCAATTAAAGTTGATAACTTCTGTGTATAACAGTAGTATTTACTTTATGATTCCTGTTTATTCCACATGTATCAGTGTTTTAAGAGCCACGTTCAAAGGCCACTTGTATGTTTTAATAGGAAAAACGAGTTTAAAATGTAGCAATTTTGTTATTTTACACACAAAATCCTTGGCCTGAAGACAGGTTAAACCATCTTGTCGGGTTGAGAATACCCATTTAAAAACTTTTTATTTAATTAATTGCTTTGCAGATTTGAGGTTATATTAAACATTTGATCACACAGCGAGAACATTGGTTTATTCCTATATATTTTTAATTGAATTAATAATATTGTGCAGTCATATATCAGTTGCATACACGAGATTTCATCAGATTGAATATAGCCTTATACATACCACTTTGGTTTTGAATCTGTGAAAAAGGAAAAGTAAAGAAAGCATATATATTCTCCCTTAAAACACATATGCACATTGTAATCTAAGGGAAATAGATCTATAGAATAACCATAATGTTTATACTTTGAAAAAGCTATATGGAGCCTTCTATTGTAATTTTAAAATGTCATTTTTTGTTACTCTGAAGCCATCATCTTATATAAATTCATTTTTTTCTCCTACAAATGAATCCTATAATACACAATTAGGAACTGGTTTAGTGCCACTGTAGTTATGCTAACTAACTTTTGTATTAATCTTTATGAACTGATCAAAATAATCAGTAGATGTTTCAAGTAAAGGAAACAAACACATTGTTTGTTGATACTCTAGATTCTGGAAGAGGTACTTCCAGTAAATACATCCGGAAGAGAACCAAGTAAAGCCGTTTTAAACTTTCCTCCTTGTAAATAAATGTGTTTGTCGGCCGGTCTCTATTTGCATTCCCTTAAACTGAGCTATGGAATAGTTTGTGACATGCAGCATTTATGAAACTAAAAGCTCTTATTAATCAATAACCAAATCTGCTTCGTAAAGATTATAGTTGGAAATCAGCTAGTTGATGTAGTGAGTAAGCATGTTCTGAATTCATTACAGTGCTGTTTTTTTAAAACTAATCAACTATTAAATCGACGGTAGGTAAACTATTTTAGATGGAGAATATCAATCAAGCCTGAGTATCTTAGTTGTTTTGGTTTGAACATGTAACCCTTGCATATAATCTGTTCTGCATAATTTTATCAATACTTCATGCATTGTTCTTTCACTTGCAACCCCAAATCCTGTTCATCTTTACAATTTTAAAGAGAGCAACACATTTGTCTTATGTTATTTAGCTCTAGGTAACCCCTATTAATGGTAATCTTTTATTGTGCCTTTCACATGGGCGACAGAAAAACCTGGAAACAAAAATAACGCAGTCGAAAGATGAAGGGATTCATTTCCCGAAAGTAGAATCAGTCTCTGCGCTAATTGCGAAATTCGATAATAACATTATAGATAAAGCAAGAGCTGAAACAAATGAGGATTGTTTTGTCCTTCTGTTTTGTTGCCAAGAATGCTTTGTCACATTGTATTCTGCTTCAAATATGATATGTTGGTAGTGGGTATGAACCTCACCTTTGAAAATGAAAAGTTTAAACACGTTTATGTTTGTATTGCTCCAGTTAGTAACACAGAAGAAACATTTTTCATGTATTCGAGCAACAAATGTTCGGTTGAAAGGGAGTTGTGCACAGCAAGTTAACAGTTGTCAGCGCTCGTTCTTTACACTCTGTGGCTCTAGTTGAAACCAACACACTGAGCAATCCTGATCCATATGAATTGTTCATGTTAATAAAAAAAATTCTGACATCAAGGGGACACAAGTGAATTTGGATACAAATGAATAAATCAGGAGTAAGAAAAAAAAGTCAGAGGGAACATTTATAGTTGGTGGAATAAGTTACCAGGAAGGCCGTTGAATCAGACAATATAAATGGGTTCAAATGACAGCTAGAGTTTTGGGAATGGGTTTGGGACTTTGAGGTTGAGAAGTATCAGGACGGGGTGGATTTGTTGGGCCCAATGCCTTTACCTGAACTAAAAGTTCTTAGGTAGCACACCCAAGAGATCAGATACATTTCATATCTGCCTCTCCACAACTCCATAGTGCCCTCACCTTAAAATCGCCACAGCAGCCACCACCGCAGTGATATAATATCGCAGTCGCCTTTCTGGGCGAATGAGTTACGTCGCGAATTCGCCGCTGTAACTAATCAATCCCATTGACATGGTTTCTTTTCGGGTGGAGGGACGAGAAATTCAGACAAATATTCTTCGCCGGAATCTGAACTCCAGCTACAAAAGGTGAGCACCTACTGCCGAACAAATGCACCTTCCAAGCAATGTGAATGGGTGGCGGACGGATTCACCGCGTTTTCAGCACAAGGATTTTTTTTTAGAAGAAAAACTTTCTTTAAGATTTGCAAACAAGACAAATAAATGCAGGTTGGTCACCGGTCGACGCAGATCCTTTTCTGTCAACTGCATTTTAAACATTGATGTGGGGGGGTGGGGGAAGGCACATTCAGTGCTGGAATATCTTTGGTAAACTGTGCATTGGTAAATAAGTGTGTGTTTGCCTGACTCCCTGCAACATGTAACCACGTTTAAGATTCCCATCCATCCGGCAGTGCAGGTCTCTGACGGTAACCTCAAACGACCTGAATACGGGAGATAATCAAATGCAAGGATTATTATTATTATTATTATTATTATTAATGTAACCCCGTGTCGGTTTAAACGTGAAAAGAAAATCAATGATTTGAGTGAGTGAAGAAAGGAGAAATAACCTCTGCACAATCGGCGTTGTTTACAGGAAACCCGAGTTCAGAGTGACCAGAGGCGAGTGTGGCACTGCGCTTCGTGGTTTCATCAGAGAGGGTCCGGTTTGGGGTTTTTTTT